ATATTTTTGAAATAATTTTTGAAGGCTTGAAAAATTATAAATTGAGAATTTTGTGAAATTAGATAAAATTACAGTTTGTTTATAATTTAAAAAGAAGTTGTTTGGTTTGAAGAAAAATTTTAAATGAGATTATAATAAATAATTGAGAATTTTAATATAAAATATTTAGATTTTGGGTAATAAAAATATATATATACTTTTGTTAAATTTAAATAGCCTTATATGTAAATTATTTTTCAAAATAATATCTAATATAAATGCCTAGATTTGGGAGAGTTAATATATTTATGTAGTTTTGGTTTAGAAGGTAGTTTTAGAATTTTAGAGTAGTTTTGGAGTAGTTCTGAGTTTATATTAATAAATATTTATGTGTAATTTTGTAAACTTGAGAATTTGGAGTAATCTTTGTGTGAATATTTGTAAGCTAAAGAGTACCAGGTAACTCTGAAAATTCTTTCTTGCACATGTGAATTGTGTATGATTATATTGAGAGTTTACTAATTTTTATATTACTGAAATATAATATTATGAATTTTTTAAATAAATGTTTTGGTATGTTACCTGATTTTATTAATTTATTGCTAGTAATTATAATCAATATTTAAATATGTTAATAGCTATGAAATTATCATGAGTTGCTATTAAATGGTATATGAATTTTATTGCTATCTTATCATTAATAATATATTTGAGAATATATTTATGATGTACCATTATTTGCATATGACATGCATTGTTGGATTAAGGATAGAAGGAGATTGCATGGATATAAAATTACCACGTGGTATACCATCACTCGGTGCACAGTAGATGGCACTTGTCAGGGCCCCTTCTTCCATGTTTTCCTTTGGCCGGGAATTCATTGGCTCTGTAGGACATGTGATACCTCCCTATTCACAAAGGAGAGGAGCCATAGTCCAAGCTTGAACTCTATATCTTTGGCCGGATATATCTCTAGTATCGGTGAGCTTGGAATAATTCAGTAAAATAGATTAGTTCCTATCGGACTATGTGGTAGCCTATGGCTCCAGTCAGCGGTATAAGGATGGACGATAATATAAGGGAGGCAGCATATTGCATTATTTTTAGATATATTAGAAAAATGATATTGGTATATTGTTAGGAAAAAAAATGAAATTGAATTGGATGTCTCAAATCCGTGATTTTTAATATATTTATATACACACATATAAACGGATTTTTGGTTTATCATATATGATTTGCTTGTATAGGTTAGAATTTCAGTAGTTATTGAGACGTTTGATCTCACCCCTTATATTAACAATTTTCAGGCGAAGGATCTAGTAGGAATCAAGGGAAGGCACCAATGGAGTGAGCCGTGAAGGCTTCTGTGCTCCTCAAGCACATGCTATGTTATATTTTTATTTGCCATAACTATAAGACTTTAATAGTTTATGTTGTTAAGTTATGTTAGAAATGTTTTGAAATTTTGACTTATTTGCAGTATTAAAAATATGTATGGACTTTTAAATTAAATATTTTATTACGTATATTGATATAATTATGTGAGGTGTTACACAAATGAGGTTTTATATTAAAAACTGAACGTAGTATTTATCTAATCATAAAATCATGATAAAAAAAAAACACATGCTTTTAATGTTAAAAATCAAAACAATGAGAACAACTCTAATCTATATAGATATATGTAACATCTCAACATTGAGCATGTACTTGGAAATCTATTAATCTTAGTTAAAATGCAAAACTTTATTTTAAATTTATTATAGCCCATTTTAAATATTGAAACTTGGACCAATTCAAGCCATTAGACGATCCAAAATTTTGATTGAACCAGATTAACCCAGTTACCTTGGTTTTGCAACCCAGTCAACACAACTGATTGAACAAGGCAAGTGAATTGACATTCATAATTTCCCACTCCTAAGCACGAAAACGACATCATTTTGGCTGACTTGACTTAATAACTTTTTTTTTTTTTAACCAGGTAGATTTATTGTTTCCTTTGGCCCTAAATATAAAAGTTAGTTGAAAATTAAGCTTGATTTCAAATATAAAATCTCAATTCATTTTTATCTCCATTCTTATGATTTTTTTTTTTCAAATTATCACTATTGATTGTATATCTTAAGAGGTTTTACAATAGTAGTAGTTTCATTACAAATGATTTAAAAGGATATTTTAGAAAGACCAATATATATTTTTGACAAATAATTAATTCAATTGTCTTATTAATTTACTTAAATTAATTAAATAAATCTTATATTAAGAATTAAAAGTAGTATAAGTTAATGGTAAAGATCCAACTTGCATATATAAGTTGCTTCAACTATTGTTACTCTAGTCATTGAATATGTATCTTCCAAGTAATTGCAGCACTGAAGTTGTATAATTAATATTGCATACGACATTAAAATTTTGTATGATTTATGGATAAATGTTCCACTTGCACGATGATTAATACTTTATTTTGAATTTAAATATTACTTTCTCATGAGCTACATATGAATACTTTTTATATGTTTAATTAGATAACGTTATTTTAATTATAATTGGGTCAACTCTATATTTTCAAGTGCATGAATCTTTCTATAAAAAATAATCATGTTTGACGTACTGTCAGGTACTAAATATGGGCAATTCTCTCAGCATATATTTAAACACTGACTCCTCATATTGCAAGGAATCAATTCATTTTATTAGACCTAATTTCTATTGATGGGTTAGTTCTAATTTGAACAACTAATTCTTGAATATTGATTGGTTCCATAACTAACCCAATTTTCAGTTGATTATCCCACTTGTAACCAAAAAAACCACACTATAAATCAGGAATGTGTCATGCAACGTGGGAAAAAAGAAGAAGAAAAAGGAAATGGCCTAGAGGGTGAGCAGGAAGGAATATTAGGCCACGAGGCTACTTGTTAGGGATCATTCAAGGGAATCCAAGAAGAGGGCTTATCTGGGGGGAAATTGGCCATATTAATTAGGGCCTATGAGGAAGACAAGTAGATGATGGACCACGCAAGTGGAGGTGGACAGAAGAAAGATCTAACAGGCTTGCATATTTTCATGTTTGGTTTCATGTGGTCCATGTCTCTTCCAATTTCCTCTTTTTCCTTTTGTTTTCCAATTTCCTCTTTTTCCTTTTGTCCTCTTTCTCATTTTTTGTGACTTCCTAGAAATGTGAAAGCCTCATGTCTCAATCTCATCCTCTCTTTTCAAGTGATCTACTTTGAACCCTAGCTTGCCATAGGCTCTGTCATTCCTCTTTGCTTCATTAAATGGAAATAGTATATTCTTTGGGATGTAGAATTCTCAGGAATCTTTGAAGGATTTTAAAGCTCTTTTGGTATATTTTATCTTCATTTTCTTTTTTAAAAAAATACTTTACAATAATTTAAGAACAACAAAAAGTTAAATGAGGTCCGCTAATTATGACAAGAATATAACTCCGTCCGACCGAACTCCTTAACTAATTTACTAATTTAAAGCCAAACAAATTAGACGATTATCACAATTATGACATGTATGATCTCCTTTGAAATATTCTCATATAACATTAGATTATCCATCAACTTATAAATTAATTTAAAAAAATAATAAATATGAGAGAAAAATTAGAGTAAGATCTTATATTTAGAATTACATACAATCTTTTTAACTAGTTCTTATATTAAGGATTATATAAAGTCTTGTGGCAAAGATTTAAAGTCCGTTAATAAATATATAATGTTGTTGTTTTTTCCTCCACAATATATAAAAATATGCTCGTTATATCTTTATTGTTATTATTATTTTTTTAGAAGCATGAGCATAGTTTTATTACAATCACAAATTTATTGTGCATACCAAAGATCTTGCAAATTCCCCTGGTTTACTTTAAAGGGACAAGAGAAAAAAAAAAAAGACTAATAAAATGACAAAGGCACTAGGTGACACATGAAATTGGTAGAAAAATGAGGAACAGTGTGTTAGGTGAGACACTTGATGCTCATGAAGACCTTATTTGTGCGGTACCAATGAAGCTAAAGGCCACAAGTGTCCAACCCCAACCCTTTAAAATTTCCCTCACAAGCATTTTCTATGCCTGCTTAATTTCTTCCCTTTTTTTTTAAAAAAGAGAAGTTATTTTTAGATAATTCATGCATTAGAAAATAGTTTTAAAATTTTGATTCTGCTCAAAAACCGATATAGATCATTTTTCTGTTCATAGTTGATTAAAATACATATTTTTTGACCTAATAACAAAGTCTAAACTTGCCATAAAGAGTTAAGTATACTCTTGAATTATTTTATTATCGCTTGCAAAACAAAAAAATATTTTATCATCAACACTTTTTTAAACACTTTTTACTTTACAAGACAAAACTTACCTTTAAGATAAAATAAGTACTTGGTAATGACGAGTTTAGCCTAATAATAATAACTGATGAAATGGAAGTGCAATCATTCAAATGGGAATGAAAAGGAAACAATCATCCAGAAATAAAGAAACAAAAAGAGCTGTAAAGTTAGTAACATAAAATAGGATTCACTTCCCATTTTGAAGTGGCGTACATTTTTCTTTTTAATAAAATGATGTTTACCATTACTAACCAGAGAGTACATTAAAAGCGGAAGTAGTCATAACATATTTTCTCTCATCAACATCCACCTCATCCACCTCTCGGATGATCAAGAGTAGGAAGCAAAACTTCCATGTCATGAGATAACAATTTCCTCAAGAGTATGGCTGCCAATTCTTGTGCACTACTATGTACTCCTTCCGCCTCTAATTATAAGATCTATTTTCTCAAAATAGGTTTGTCCCTTTTTATAAAATCTCTTTTAAATTTGTCTTAACATTTAATGTATTATTACCTATTTTACTTTTAATGTATTTAATATATTCTCTTTTTTTATTTATCTCACTATTACTCTCTCACGTCTACCCATTTATATATAGGGGTGTATTTAAAAAAAATTACATTTGCTACATATTAATTATTTTTAATTAATTTTAATTATTTTTTTAAACCGTGTAATTTAATTAAAAAGATGTTATAATAAGAGTCGGAGTAGTACTAACCTAGGATCATCAATAATCCGAAGATAATAAATTAAGGGCTTCTGTGCAATCAAAATGCAAGACAATATTCCTGCACCCCTTCGACCAGCAACCAGCACAAATTGAGACCAATTAACCTTCCAATGACCTCAGCAATCGCTAGAGGCAGTCTTGCGAGCTTGCATCCACTTTGACTAGGAAAACCAAACCATCCTCATCAAGTCTGACACAGTCACCCCGGGGAATGTGCCTGGGTATGCCACTGCCAGAGCTCTGGGTGTAAAAATCACAGTTTTTTTAATCACATCCCTATCCCAAGAAGCACCAAAGAAGCTGGACTGAGCATTAAGGTAATCTCTGCAGCTGCAACCAGTATACATTTACAAATGGTTAACTATTGCGTTAACTGTGCCTTGTAAAAGGAAAAAGGACCATAACTTGTCCAAAACCCTTAACTTGAAATTATGTACAAAAATATTTTCCCCGGTATGATAGATACTATTCCAAACTTTTCAAAAGAGAGTATGTTTTGTTTGTTTAAAATCAAAATCCTATTGAAATGTATAGAAAAAGATAGAAGAATTTTTTCCAAAAATTTATTACACAGCCCTTGGAAACGTGAAGATTTTGAAAGAAATAAAAAATAATTACATACTGTTCAGAATACAAACAAATTTCATGTTTTTGCATTTTTCATTAATGACACGACAGGATTATGTGGGAGAAGTTGCCGGTAAAAATTATTTTTGTGACAATGAAAAATAACCTACATATATAATTTTCTCCAATCCTCAGAATTCTATATATATTTATATATGCTTTAGATTCAAAAATTTTCAACTAAAATTTATCCACAAGCCAATTTTTAAGAGGAGAGAAGACAAGGTGGCGTATGGGAAATGCAGGAAGAAAGGAAAAAGGGACATGGAAAGAGCAGCAAAATGGCATTCACATCTAAAACACCCATGAGCTAAACGCCAAATGACCCCAGTTGGCTTCCCTGTTTCATGCCCAGCAAAAAGCTGTCCCTTTTTTTTTATGACATGACTGAGATTTGAAGCTGTACTAAATGACAAAATATGCTAATACTCACACATCCTCTTCCCTTTTGTTTTCTTTCATTCTCAAGAGTTTTAATTTTGATTCCATTTCTTCATTGTTGAAATGTATCAAATAGATGGTCCATTGATTATCAGCAACTATATCTTAAACTGATTTTTGTAGAGAATTAACTCACTCACATCCCAGTTTTATGGTAAACTAATTCATCTGCCAACTTCTTTGAAATTCAACTTTAAATCAGTCCAACGTCTCCAATAAGCAAAAATTTTAATTGGCTTAACAACAACAAGAAGCTTTATTTCATTAGATATGATTGACAACACAAATTACGTTATCCCCATCTACTCTATCAACAAATCGCTCTTTAAATATATGATGGATTGAAAGGTTATGTTGGTCCCACTTAACAAAAACAAAAAACTTACTAAACCTACTCTTTAGGAGCCTGAGCTGAATACTTACTTAGTATCATAACCATGACTCATGAAAAATTTTAATAACAACACTTCAACATTGGAATTAACAATAATGCCGGTTAGTAAGAATAACACAGAACAACTGTTGCAAATTATGGTTTTGTTAAAGTTACAAGCCATTCGAGTGCCTTAAAATATCTAGTCTTTCAATCTTCTACCTAACTGGGGGAATATGAAGCGAGCAAAATATTTTTGATTCATGTGATCCTAAACAGCAGATCTTTCCTAAAAGTAAGGCAGACAAATTTTTTTTACCCCACGTAATAGCAGATAAAGGGGACAATTTTTGCTCTATTTGTAACCGAAAAGAAAAAATCCTGTCTTCTGGTGAGAGAAGCAATGACAGCAAGTCATGGTGCTCGGATTGCCAGGTAACCCAGACGTACACTGGCGACTCAATAATGAGGGTTAAACGTGCCCTACTGTTGTGATATGAGGGTTAAACGTGCACTACTGTTGTGATAGGCCTCTTGTCCTGTCTTAAAACTAAAAATTTACACCCTACTAATTCAGAAAATAATATTTTGATAATTTGATAAATTGATAAATTAAGAGTAAAATCAATAAATTGATAAATTAACAATTAGTAAAATCTGCGCCAAGTCATTGATGGGACTTGTTAATAAAGAGAGAATTTTAATGAGTTGGATTTTGAAAAAGAAGAAGTGAGGTTAAAAATTTCCAGTTAAACAGTTGTGTCTGGAAATTCGATAAAATCCATTTTTTAAATAAATAAAGACACTAGAAGTTGGATTAGAAAGAAGGGCGGAAGGGATAAAAATTAGTTCAGGTGGCAGGACAGAGAGAGAGAGAGAGAGAGAGAGAGAGAGAGAGATCCATATTTTGATGAAAGCATAAAAGTTCTTACTTGCTGGGTCTTATTATGCTCTTGTTCCTGAAGCTTCTACATGGAGCCTTCCCAAGCTTCTGGGGAATTTAGTGGAAATAATGAGTCTGGATGGACTGCTTATATTGGTTCTCACATTCGCACAGAAACAAGCTACAGCGATGACGAAGATGTGAAAAGCGTTGAGGACGATGGTAATAATGGCCATAACGATGATGATGAGAGTGATGATTCAATGGCTTCTGATGCATCTTCTGGCCCCAGTCGTCTGCAATATTTAGGCATAAACAGTGAAGGAAGCCATGGCTCTGATCAGTTCACAAAGCATAAAGATAGTGATCATAAAAGCTTATTCTCAGGCAAGAGGACTAGCAAGCAAACAAACAAGAGAAGATATGCAAGGAACGTCGAAGTAAAAGAAGAGGAGGAGGACGACGACTTGCTGGTCGAAGCCGATAGTGCTGCTAGTAGTCATGTTTAAGGCAAGAAAAATGTTCCTTTCTCTTTGAAACTGGTTAAATTAACAGTGTCTTGTCACATAATTTAGCCCCAAAGAATAATGTAAGCTAGCCTTTTTTTGTTTTCTTTAATTAGAAGAAATCTTTCTTTATCTGTTCTGGCTTATTACTAGGCTCTAAAGGGGCATGACATGCAAGGAATTTAACCCCATCCAAAATATTTTCCATACCTATCCGTGTCACCTGAACTTTTCAATTCCCATAACTGCTCATGTGTTAACTGTTTTATAACTTTCATTCTTCAAAAGGATAAAAACAAACAATTGCGGAGAGTCATGACTTAGCATCGACTTTTGGATTTAAAATGAAAGCTCAAGTCCAGCATAAATCCATAGGTTCAAAGCATCGATTCAGACCTCTTATAAGCAGATGAAGATGAGAGAAAATGAGTATGTCTGTGTTTCTTTTATCACATGCCTTGTATCAATGAGCTTTGGATCTTAAAAACAAAACAAAAAAAAACTCTATTCCTGATATGCTCGAGCCTTCCTTCCTTGTTTTTTCAATGATTATAAACTGGACTTGCACTAGACAACTGCAGAAGAGTAGTTCTTGGAATCATATTAACAAAAAATGCTTTTACGCAAATCTAAACAAAACTTTCTTCGCATGCTACTGTAAAATTATTTCTAATAATCCAAACACTTTAAATATAAAGAAACAAACAAAAGTACATAGTTAAATTGTGCAGTAATTGCCTGGTCTACACAGAACCAATAATTGGGTCTAGAATAGTTTTTATATGTTTACTTTGTGTTCCTATCCGTTTAAAAAAGCCAGATCACTCCGATATCAATTGTACTGAAGCGCGAAAACCAGGTACCTCGTTGGCTAGACAGGTAATGCCAAGAAATTTTCTAAACTATTGTTTAACCTAGACAAAAAGAAATCTATAGGTTAAGTGCTACTACCGGACGGTATCAACATCTTTGCAAGCAACCAAAATAAATATATAATAATGAGAAAGACTTCGTTTTGTCTTTCACGAGCTATTTGTTGGTCTCTTTTTTTTTTTTTGACCAGAACGAGCTATTTGTTGTTTACTCCCTTAAAGAATGAATGATTTTATTAATTAGGTTGGTTCTCCCAAACAAATATCTTTGCTTGTGAAAATTTTATTGAATAACTTCATAATCACAAGGACTCAAAGAAGGACAATTTAGGTAGTCTTTTTCATTTCCCCTTGTCAAATTCTTTTTCAAGAGACAACTGCAGGGAATTAGTTTACAGTCATTCTTGTTAACTAAACTTGACATGATCAATACCAAAATCCATCCCTAAAGCAGGCCATCTTTGAAAATTTGGAGAGAGAAATTCAGAAAGTTATTGCAGAGAATTCTCCGAAGAAGACAAATTCTGAGGTCAGTCAGTTCTTTATAATGTTCAGACTAAGAACTGCTTTAGGTAACAGATGAAGACATTAATATGGATAATTCTATTTCTATTGTAAGCATTGAAACAACTGCACATCGGTAGAAAAGAAAACTGCATATGTGGACAATTGAAGTTATGAGTTATGACTAATCAGAACATGTTTCATAAAGTTGGATCTGCAGAAAGCAGCAAAAGCATTTACTGATCTGTGGCAAATGTGGCTCAGGGAGTTTAATGTGAGTTGTCATGAGTCATTTTCAATCCTTACAGACAACCAAATGTAAAATGCTCAGCCATCTCTGTTGCAATTTTCTAATTCATACACGTATAGGGGGAATGATAAATAACATATATCGGATCTCGGGGTGTTGTGTGTGTGTGTGTGTGTGTAATTTACCCCTAAAGCGAAAACCAAATTTCGAGTGGTTTGTAACAGAAGATAAATTCAAGTGAACAGGTTATGAGTTCTGACTAAGTTCTCAATTTGTTCCATGTAAAGCTTTAAGTCCATTTAGTGGCTAGCCAAAAATCATCAATGAATAGTTAATTGGATCCGCTCTAAAGGATGAAAAAGACCCCCGGGGGAGTATCATAATATCTCTTATTCTAATTATAAGATCTTATTTGTAGATTATAAACAAAATCTTATAATTAATATGGGAGCTAGTATTACTAAAGTAAGAAGGTTAACAATGGAAGTTTAAAGCAATATCAGTATTTTTTAGTTGTTTTTTTTTTTGGGGGTCAAGTTCTAACTATTAAGGGTTTGTTTGGATTAACTTATAAGTAACTTTTCAAATATGATTTACAAAACATAAGATAAATATGTAAAAATAATTTTATCTTACATAGACTTGTTTAAAAATTCGTTTTGAAGAGAGTTTCAAACAAGCCCTAAATTAGAGAGAGACAAGTTGAAAGAACGGTCACCATCAAATAGATGTTCAAACTTAAAAAATGTCACGGTTTGTCAAAAAGGGGGAGCAACCGTAAAGTTTGAAAAAGGTTATGACGAAGAGATAAGCATGGAACTCAAATCTCGAAACATTCAATGATAAAACTCCCTCGTACGGAGGAGCACCAAAATACCCTTGAGAGATTGCAGCAAATTAACCACAAATTTCTCTCCCTAGGTGTAATAGAAGATGATATATTGCATCCCCAGAAAACAAAAAACACAGAAAAGTAAACACAGGAAGAATATATTACCTCTCCTGTGCGAACTCCGGATCAATAAGATTAAAATGAAATGTTAGGTTTCTGTCATGCGCTCTCTTCAGATAGTCCTAAAAGGTTCAATAATGCAACTTTTCTACACTCTAATCCTGAAAAAGTAATACAATTATAAAATTTTGTGAACGTTTGTGAGAAGTTTTCCCAATAAACACACATGCGCTGCAAAACTTCCCCTTGTCGCGACTTTACAGAAAACATTATACGTCTACGGAAACTGAACTCATTTGCAGCTTCTAGTCTCAGTCTTTGTCAATGCTTCTGGGAGCCCCAACAGACAGCTCAGCAGCAGCTTCTTTGATTGCCCACTTAACTAGCTAAACCTTGTCCATTATCTTTCATTCTTGTTACTTTGAATACATCCGTGATTATTTTAGTCAAGAGACACAAACTCTCAAAAGAAAAGAAAAAAAAAAAGGCTACTGGAACTTAATATGGGGGTTCTTTTTTGCTCAAGAGAAGTACAGCACAACGAGCAACTACTAGCAAGTAGCCATAACATTATATAGAAGAGGTCAGAAAAGTTCAACAGTATATGTTCACAATTTGAAACTAGTGAGATATTCAAACACACAAACTTAGATGATTAAATTATTCAATCACATATATAGCTAAACCACACTTAATGTCAATAAAATTGTTAGACAAATTTAAATATCTAGAACAAAAATATTTTTCCATAAAAATGAAAATTTTTCTGGAGTAGAATCCAAAAGTAAATAAATGAGTGGGCCCACCAAATTCAAGCCAATCGGAGTACACACATACCCAACGGTATTATCTTGAGATGCTCCTTCCCAGCCACAATTTGCACAATAACACTTCACTAGCTTCTTCGAATTCACGCCGTTACTTTGCTCCTCATCCAATACCACAGAACAAGGATCAAAGTCCCCAAGCTTGAATAATGAACTTGCGCGCCATCTTCTCGGCCCCTGTCCCTTCGACACTCCGCATCAAACCCTCAATTCACCCTCCCCGTAGAAGCCTCGCCGTCTCAGCTCAAATCCCGACCACAGCCGCCACGAAGTTCTCGGTCTCCGACGAAACCCTAGAATCCCGTGGCTTCCTCCTCCGCCGCGACACTGATGACCTCAACCTTGATCAGCTCAACGCCATCTTCGTAGCGGTGGGGTTCCCCAAGCGTGATCCGGAAAAGATCCGGATCGCGCTGGACAACACGGAAACGGTGCTGTGGGTGGAGTACAAGAAGACGAAGAAACCGGTGGCATTTGCGAGAGCGACCGGAGATGGCGTGTTCAACGCGATCATATGGGACGTGGTGGTGGATCCGTCGTTCCAAGGGATCGGGTTGGGGAAGGCGGTGATGGAGAGGCTGATCGAAGGGTTGTTAGCGAAGGGGATTTGTAACATCGCGCTTTATTCGGAGCCCCGAGTTCTCGGGTTCTACAGGCCGTTGGGCTTCGTGGCGGATCCGGATGGGATCCGAGGAATGGTGTATTCTAGGAAACAGAGAAAGAAAAAATAGCAGTCACATTCTTTCATCAATTATTTTTGTTGATGAATTTCTTCACTCCCAAATTGATTGTAAGTTAATACTCTTACATAGACACAAATTTATGAGCAAAAAAAAAAATTGTTGATTTATTAAGTCCTTATTGTAACTTTATTTTACCAGTATAAATTAAGTAGATAATGAGACTTCGAATTTCTGAAGTTATTTTATTTTTGAATCCACACACTTGATGGAGCTAGAAGTCTATGAGACTTTAACTAACTCATACTCTCAAAAACTTTACAATATGTTCTTGTTTCAATTAGATTAGCTCTTTAGACTTATTTCATATTAATATTAATGCGTCAAAATTAGCATTATTAAAGTTCCCATAAAGTGTATAATGACGACAATAATAGAAGAATTAGACTTATGGAATGTTTAGATAGAAATCAAATCATGATTTCAGAAATGATTTTACAGTATATGAAGTAAATATATGAAGGAGTTTATCTCGATTTATAAAAAAGTGATTTTTAAAAACACTTCTCATGCTATCCAAACACCCTCTTAATTAAATATTAGAATTGCATGATTTCTCTCCTACGCAGGGTAAAAAAAAAAAAACAAATTTTAGTTCATGAAATGAATTTTAGAGAAATGGGAATGAAAATAAAAATAAAAATAAAAATGTAATTGCTATATCTCCAACGAAAGTGTTTTAGTCTTGTTCAACACATCTCTGAACATGTTCCTTATTCATAATGACCATATATAAAACTTGTTTAGTTAACCTCTAGAAGCATTAGTTTTTAACTAGTGCCTGTTGGTAAAGAATACTCTTAGTCCCAAATACACCTTTGTTTAGTTTGATACACTTCGAAGGTATCCACTTTATTATATGAATATGAATATAATCAATATAATATTTACAATAAGCAACATTATTTATAATGTCGAACTCATCTCTTAACTTCCTTACTTTAGAATCACCTAATTAGCTACTACTTCCTGTTCTTAGTATAAAATTTAAAGAATTAATTTGAATAAATTAATGAAACTAATTAAATTAGTTGTTTATTAAATATATGAGTTGGTTTTATTTTCTTTATTTTTTTTTTGAAAAAAAGTTTAGGTGAGCTAGGTCCCGGAAACTCACCAGGATCAGGACATACCTCTAGACTCAGAAAGTGTTTACAGAGGTATTTACAGGGCGCCCACCAACAAAATCCTCACATCAACAACGGGATTCGAACTCACGACCTTATAGGTTATGAACCAACTCCTTACCAACTGGATATAACTTTTGTTGGTATATGAGTTGGTTTTCTTAAAATACTCTATCAAATTATTTGCGTTAAAACTATCTCGCGATATAAACTTTATGAACATGTACGATCATCAGGGATAGTTAGAGAGGGATGATAAGCATGGGAGCAAAATAGATTGATGTCTTGTATCAAGGATTAAATTAATAAATTCATCCTCTAACTTTTATCCCAGAGACCGGAGGCAGTATAATGCAAGGCAGTAGCGTCTGGATGCAGTGGGAGAGAAAATCATTTGCTTTCCCATAATGAAAGAATGATCTTACAAGAGAGGGAGAGAAATAAATATCACCACTGAACTTTATTGACTATATTGAACAGAGGCTACATTCCTACTACAGGAAGCAATAGTACTCCTCAACTTTTCTCAAAGACTCTGATTCTTACAACAAGATGGCTCCACTCTACATAAGCGAGGAATTCCTATAACCATTCAAATTGAGCACGTTGATCAGGCACATCTGATCCAAATACATGAATTAATATCTGAACTATGGACTGGTACAGCAATATCAAAGCCAGATGCAGTAATGAAACAACCACATAGAATTAAAGCAGAAGAAGAGATTATGCAAATACTTTCCACAATTTTGCAGTTTTTGGTTCATGACTGTTAGGGACCTGATTTTAAGATAAGAAAAATTTAAGGAACAAGGAAATATGAGGATAAATCTATTAGAAAATGAAGTAAGGATCTCACTTTCACTCTCTAACAGCCAAGGATAAAATCTACTAAGGATTACTTAAGCAAGAATCTCGCCTCAATAAAATTTAGCAGCCAAGTGGAAAATCTCCAAATTACTGAATTGATATTTTATTTCTCAATGTCCTTCCCGCAGGAAATCGCTCGGTTATCTATAAAAGAAAAATACAACAGAAACAGAATCTGAAAATCCCTAAAACATAGGAAACAGTCTCTTCTAAAACATACTTGACGTTGGTGGACCGTCTAACTGACATAATGATCCGCTTATTTCTTAACAAACTCTTAAAGCAATTGAAAATAAAATATCCCAGCAATTAATAACGAATTAATGATACATTTTGAGGGAGTCAGCCCAACAGAATCACTTTCATCCATTTTCCTCTTCTTTCGCATCTAATGAGTCCTTAGATGATGGCTACGTTGACTAGGGATCGTATCAATGACACAGCATATGTCTGAATTTAAAACGTCTCTCTATAGAAGTCAGTAAAGATGATATTTTCCACTGCGTAATTAGTCTGTGTTCGGGAGGAGGAAATGTGTGTGATATGGAAATCTCTTCAAGGATCTATCCCTGCTATTTGATGTAGACATTCCCACAAAAGAAAGATCTATAAAAATAGCAACAATCTTGAATCTACACAAACTCATAAAGGATCTACGCTATTCTCTAGTAAAACAAATATCCAGAAACAGAGAAGCAAAAACAGCAAGAATTCTGTGATTAGGAGCATCATAGTCATGGTCCCAGCGACCTAGGAGTAGGACATGAGTCCCCGAAACTGTCAAAAATTTAGAAGCATAATGAAATTGTTCAGTCGTCCAGAGCATTTGCACTTGATGAAGGAACAAAATGCAAAGCTTCAAATTAGATCAGGCTCTGAAGGCTATTCATCTGATGCAGTTCCAAAACCCAGAAAATAATACGTGAATGCCTATGAGCTCGTGAACAGACCGATAATGTGAGACAGAATGAATGCATGTCCTAATTGTGTGGACAATATTAAGCAATCCAATCCAGTGATCCGTTATTGGCTTAGAGTGGAAGAATATGGCAATACCAAGGAGGTGGCTAACATTTTTAATGTGCTAAATGTTTCATGTCATTTCTAACTGAAAATTTAAGAGCAGGCTTTACTTCTAAAAAATGTATTTGCTTTCCAAGACATCTTTCAGAAGTGCATTTTTTCCATGATGCAAATGGATTAAAGCTCTCTCTCCCATTCATTTTGTGACTCATCTCCCCAAATCTCATTACTTTTTCTTTGAGCAGAGACTCTGACCTCATCCCTGAATTAACAAAGAGCATGTGCAGCCAGAGGGAAAATTGATTTTTTCTAAAACATAGTTGATGGTTCAGAAATGTTAATACAAATTTCAAAAACCACAGCAGTCCTTGCAGTCATGATGCACACAAACATGGCCAGTAAAAGTTAGGACATGTGGTGTGACATGTGAATCGTGAAAGGCACTTTCACATTAAGAATTTGCTATGGAGTGAAATTGCAAATATGCTTAGAGTTCAGGCACAATACTACTCTAGCTACCCATTTCTCAGCTTCTTGTGATCATATGTATTCCTTAAAACTACAAGTACACAACAAGAGAATGCTACATCAATGAAGCCGCTTGATGACATTGCTATTATTTGAAGTTAGCATCAATTAAGGTAAAAATAAGAGTAGGGAATCAACATAATGGCGGTATAGGGTGAATAGCAGAATAGTTTAACACTGACTGTAGATGAGCTTATAGCATGGTAGGCATATTCTAGCATTTCTATCTTGCATAATTACAGAAACAGGACTTTTCTGGCCAAAAAAATTGGATTAATCATACTCTTCGCTAAAACTTTTTACACGACATTGGCTTTCAATTGTAAGTCATGTCAGGCCAAGAACAACAACAACAACAATAATTAGTCATGAAGATCTCTTCACTGTTCAGATTAACCAAGCATGATTAACTCAACAGTGGCGCACTTTGGCAAAGCATATGAGAATTACACACAGAATTAACCATAGGTAATGAATTCACAGGACGCCAAAATAAATCATGAAGATTACGAAGCTTTTCAGATTAAACCTACATATTTAGTTCTCTTTGACCCAAAAAAAAAAAAAACCAACATATTTAGTTCAGCGGCAGTGCACTTTGCCTGAGCATATGGTAATTTATCATAATTACAGCTTGACTAGTCGAGGATAATAAATGCACTGGAACCAGAGAAGTAGCGAAGATTATATACTATACAGAGTAACCATATTTGAATTAACGGCTCAACAGTTCTGCACTTTGCCAGAGAATATGAAAAGTCAAAACAGAAATTTGGCAATAAATTCATCACTGGACACTATTTAAGTTATGACGATCACTGTAGCCTTCAGACTAATAATACATAATTAGCTCATTGTAAATGGCACTTTGCCTATAAGAAATCCACACAGGAGCAGCAGCAACAACTACAAGCCTTGGTACAAGTCATGAAGCATGGGTAATAAAATCACCGGATTTGATATAACTCATGAATATGACTAATTACTGTTCTCAAATATATGAGTGCACCTTTTATAAGCTTATCAGAAGTCCAAAGAGGTGATCAATCCAAGAGAAACAAATGCATCGGACCCTAAATAAACCGTGTGTGTTTGGATTAGCCCTTTAGAGGTGATTTTACGGATTACGTGGAGATGAGTATGAAAGAAAAATTTTGTTTCGGAGTATACCAAAGTCAGCCTATCAATGAAAACATTATAAGAATACCACAAATGGCGATACCAAAGTCCGAGCTTTAATCAAAACTATATCAAAATTCAAGAAGAGATTATATACCGTGTACAAATATTGCATGGATTTAGGATTTAGGATACGTCCTTGGAATTGAGGAAGAACGCAGCAGAGCATAGGATTGAAGCAATGAAACCAAAAATTCCCAAACCAATCAGAAGGGAAACCCCAGCCACCACGAGATCCAACATGCTCTGCACGCTTAATCCCATCATCATCGTCATCATCATTTTCCACTTCTTATTCTTGAGCTCTAATAACTCAGTAGTCAAACAAGAAATTTCTACAGGCGGAAGGATGAAGAGAAGCAATTTTGATGACAATAATGTTGAGTATGGGACGTGCTGGATCTTGCTGTGCCTGCAACACACAATGATGCGATAAGAGAATCGAGACAGAAGAGCGGTGAATGTCAGAACCGCTAAAGAAAGAAAGGCATGAAATTTCGTCGATTTTGGATTGTAGGAAGGCAGAAAAGCTACTAACAGGTTATGGGGCAGCGAGAATCATTCTGAACTTCGATGCAGGAAGGTGACACCAAACAATTACTACAGTGGGGAAAATGACACCTCGAACCGAAGGATAGAGATGATACCAGGATCCAAAATTTTAAAATTGTATTTTTCAATCAAATACTTTAAAACATTTATTCTCGATTTTATGACTTATGGTGATTTGAGGTTTCATTTTGTTCGGAAAGTTTGTGAGCAGAAGTTGTATGCTGTGCTGGGATAAGAAAAAAAATTGAGAGGAAAGAAAATACGAGGAGAGAAAACAGAAAGAAGGAAAAATTGGAAGAAACTAAGAAAGTTGTAATCATTATTTTTGTTTAGATGGATGAGAGAAAATAGAAAAGAAAGAAAATTAGTATATATCTAAATGACTAAAATGTCCTTATCAAAATATATTATATTTGCCAGCTCATGTGTGGCGCAGTAGCATGATAGCCACTTGTTGGTGGCCGTTATTAGGGTTCGATCCCTGCCTGCAAGCTCTGCTTACCTACTCAAAAAAAAAATCATATTTACAATTAAATTAAATTAAATATTACAATAAAAAAGTTATACTAACATTAGTATCATCAAATAATTTAAAATCAAGTTATTTGGTTTGTATATATTTTCAGATTATTATATTTTAAAATCAAATTATTCAATAAAAATATTGTTTTAAGATGAAAAAAAAAGTGAATAAATTTTTAAATATAATAAAAGAAAATAAATATGGAGAGGAAGAGAAAAGAGGGGTAGTCATGAAAGTCTTGTTTTCCTTTCCAAATCTCTCCATATATGGATGGAGAGAAAATTTGGAGGGAAAATAAGATATGGGGCCCACCTTATTTTCTCATTCACTTTTCCTTTCCTCACATTTTCTATTCTATCCAAACAAAAAAAAACTTGTTTCTCTTCACGTTTTTCTTTTTAGTTTTCTCTCCTCCTTAATTTTCTCTCAATCCAAGCAAAGGGGTAGTGAGTATCTGATTATAATTTTGAAAATTCAAATGAAAAATAGTTAAATATTACTCCTCTAATTTTTAATATAAAATCTAATTAATCAATTAAATTAAATTTTAAAAGTTAGGTAAATTAATTAATTATAAGAAATATAACATGCTTTTTATAACACTATAATCATCTTTCTTATAAATATGAAAAAATCTTATATTTAAAACTAAAATTAACTTAAAAGTTGCCGTGAGTATCCGAATATTTTTGCTGGCCAAAAAGAAAAGGGGGATCTGCAAGTTTTTCTTTAAAAAGAGCAAAATCACTCTGATTGTTTAAAAATTAACATCAACAGTTTAGGACAATATTGTGCCCTTTCTAAACAATCCAAACAAAACTTAAATTGTTCAATTTATGTTTCACATTAAAAATTGTGATTATAATTTAGAAAATTCAAATGAAAAAGAGTTAAATGCTACTAATTCTAAATATAAAGTTTAATTAATTAATTTAATTAGATTTAAAAAATTAGGTAAGTTAGTTAATTATAAGAAATATGATATATTTTTTTATAACACCTTAATCATCTTCCTTATAAATATAGGGGAAAAAAATCTTACATTTAAAACTAAAATTAACTTAACAATTAGATCATATATTAAAAATCGGAGTAGTATTTGCTTCTCAACAAAGTGTGTTTCACCATTTATAGAATTATTTAAAAAAAAAAAAAGACCCTCATTCTTAGTATCCTGCTCGTACATTTTTGTTGTCCGTTGGTTTCAAACTTCTCTCGATCCAGCAGGATTTTCGGGTGCATCAAATACTTGCTTCCGAAGAATAATTTGTATTTTGAACATTTTATATTTTAATTCATAATTTTATTGTTTTTATTAAAAAAAATTATTGAACTCAATATAACTAATTTTCAATTTAGGTTTTTAGGAGTTTTAACTTGTGTATGGTCATCATCCCCAAAAAAAAAAAAAAATCTTGTGCATCATACTTTAAGAACACTTTGGTCAAATTGACTTTATTTTCTAAACATCATAAGAGGAATAAGATTATTAATTGATATTTTAATGTTTTGGGCCCTAAAATATTACTATCCTTTCTATTTCATCCTACAATGTCATCAGCTTGTAAGCTCTTTTTTTTCCCCCCCAAATCATTCTTTGTTTGTTTGTTTCATTTTTTTAATTTTTTTCCTGGCTCTTAACTTTTAAGCTTCTTATATACTCCCTCCATTCTGAAATACAATCTTGGAGGTATGCATGCAATAGCAAGAAAACTAATCATAATAACAGGTATTGACTTAAATTGTAACAAAATAAAATTGCATTTTCTACTAAATAACTTGACCTAAGTATTTTTCTAAATTAAAATCTATTATAAATCCAGTATTTTTTTCCTTAACCAAAAAAGTTAACCTAAGTTTTTTTCAGAAGAAAAAAAACTTAAGTTAACTTTCTTATATATATTATGTTAAGTTTTTCAATTATGCATGGCTATGCTTTTTTTTTTTTATATCAATTTATAAGTAAATGTTAATATTTTAAAAATAGGATATATAGTCATGTGTGATTAAAAAACTTGACATAATAGATATATGAAATTTAATGTAAGTACTGTTCTTTTCAGAATTGCCTCTCTTCAATTTTTTTTAAAATATGTTTGATTATGAAAGAATATTTATTTATTTTTTTCCTATCCATTTTTACAAAGTTGATAACTTAATTAGCTATCTTTCTTTGATGAGGTGATTAAATAAAGGACCAAGGAGTAAATTTCATCACGAGGGATTTAGAACAAAGAATAGCTCTACATTTATATTACAAGTAGCTATTAAAATATGTTGCCAGAACCACTATAAAAAGAAAAATCATATTAAAAGCACCTATGCTTTTTTTTAATTTTTAATTTGATACCTATGTATTTTTTCTCTTAATTAAATATTTAATTTTGCTCTATTAATATCGTTAACCCTTACATAGACACTAAAAATGCTAACAGAATGAGGTTACAAGAGCTAATGTTACCAAGAAAAAATAAAATTAAATAATTTAATTAAGAGGCAACGACAAATAAGTACTAAATTAAGAATTAAGAGAAAGTATAAATACCTCAAATATATTTTTTCTTATGAAAAAGCCCACCCAAACGCTAAGTTAAAGCCATAACACAAGATCAGGTCTTATTGTGGGTGCTCATCACCATGATCTTATCACAGTGATAATAGATTATTTAAATTTAATTTAAATAGTTTATATTTAAAAATAATTTATTGATAGAGTGACAGTTAAAAAGTTATTTTTATTTTAAATTTTATCCCTATTTAAGTAACAATTTAGTAAAAATATTAAATCTAAGGTGCACTTATGTTATTATAATGATTTGTGATCGTCCTGTCATGTTAGTTCTCAAATTAATTAACTAACTTAACCCTATATAATATAAAGGTCAACTTAAGTCGTCTCTATTTATGAGGAGTTTTGTTAAACTTTTGAAAACCTTTTAAATTAAAAAAAAAGTGATGTAGAGAAGGAAGTAGTAGGAAAGAAAATTGATTGATTTTTTTAGGAAAATAAATTAAGAAAAATAAAAGGGAAATAACAATAATTAAAAGAAAACAAAAGGAATGAAGGCTTTATCAGAATGATGCACTTCCTAAGGATATCGACGAGTGGCTATCACGGTTCAAAAGGATGAGTAGTTTATATAAAAACAATTACTAAGTCAAAAGGAAAAACCCTAGATAATATCTAAGTCATGATTAATTAATTAATTAATAATTATACCTAGAAAGCTAGCATATAATCATCTTTTAATTAATCATTTAAAAACTACTTAACTTGTGAATTCAATTAAACAATTATATCATGTTCTTTGAAGAGAGTTATCTATCAAAACCTTAAAGCATGAACTACTTGTGCAAATCAAAATAGAAATTTATAAAGATAAACACTCATAGAATCATAAAGAAACTGAAAATATATTCATTAAAAGCTTCAAAATATAATTGTTTAACTGAAACGCAAATCAAATATTAGTCCACAAAAGAAATCAAAATCCTAATCTAGAAAATTCATAAAACACATACTCGTGGATTGAAATATGAAACCTAACAAATTTTCTAATATAAACAGGAACTCAAACCAGGTTATTTTGTTCTCAGGAACAAAGATGACTAGCCACACATATGGCTAGATGACACCATAATGATAAAAATAATAATAATAAAAAGAAGACGGTCAAACAATTAAACACAAGATGAAGCCAAATGTATGCTTGTGCTTATGTAGTGTAGATGGCTTTGTTTTTCTCCAAGGCTCCTTTGATATCCTTTTAGTGCTTTTGAATCTGTCATAGTTGGATGAGGAAACCATTGAGTCTTCTAGCTTGATTTTTTATTTTTTTTATCTTGTTAATCTCAATAAAACTTTGAATTGGAAGTCTCTTGATTTGTTGTGATCTTCATGGCAACTATAGCTTTTGAATTTAAATGATATTGAATAAAAGGATCATATTTCAAATTTGAATCAAGATATGGTGGTAGGATGAATTGGGGTTAGGGTTTAAAAAGAGGAAAAAGATGATAATGTGGATATTTGAAAAAATTAAATGGATAACAGATATATGAATAAAATATTTATTTGAATTCAAACTACGATAAAAGAATTATCCAAAAAAAAATTAATTATTCAAGCTCTTTAATTTATTTTGGAAGATAAGAGATATTTCGGCTGGATATTTTGGATAATTTCCAATTAGATAATTAAAAAATTCTCTTTTAATGTCAAGTAGTTGCCATAAATGTAGTTTTAATGGGGTCCATGTTTTTCTTAACAAGATATTTCCTGAAATCAAAGCAAAGATACCTTTTAAAAGGAAAATTATAAAAATATAATAAAAAATGTACTTTTAAGTAATTAATTTATATAATTTTCTTAATTCAAAATATGATTATCTTTTTCATTTTAATCCCTTTAAACATTATAAAATCCTTTAATTGTATATAAAAATATATTATAAAATAGGGATCAATTTGCAATTTTTTTGGGTCCAAATGACTTGCAATTTAAGAGGGCAATAATCAGATTCCAAAAGAATGACAAAAGTTGGTAATTGATACTCCTCTGATCCCATTTATAAGGCACTTTCAGTATATTTCACACAAACCAAGAAAAAACTTAAACTTCATTAACTTTC